CTGATGCTGCTTGGCCTGCTGTGTTCATCCAGCTCTACACCTTGTTATCTCATTTATGATTTGTCCATTTTGTCTTTGCTGGATGAAACATTAAGAAGGATTTGCAGTCCTTGAAGATTTAAACTTTCTTCAAAGAAGAAACCAGTTTACTTTTTTGAAAACAAAACTTCAAGCTAGAGTCGCCATTCGACTCTTTGTCTCCATCTTCATTCTGATTTGGAGGTCCACTTGGGTCTACAGATCAATCGCAGTGGACTACCCCATTCCCTATTACCATGTATGTGCTTACTGACCTTGTTTAATTAAAGTTTATGTGAATGTGGCAGATTCTTTTTGTGCACCTAACCTTTCAAAACCACCAATGCTAACCTGGAAAACTGTCCAACTCCTTTCGAGGAGCTAACACCTCCTGCCTCATGTTTGCCTTACCAGGGAAGTAGGTAGTGAGCAGCCTTTCAGCTGCTGGTATTTAGGACAGTCCCTTACTTTGACAGCAAAGTTTTCTTCTCTTTCCTCTTGCCAAACATTGTTACCATAATTGTCTGGACGCTCTCTTTTTATTTTATTCCCCTGACACTTCAGTTTCTTCCAGCTCTCCTTTCAACCATTCATTCACATTGGTATGCCTCATATGCTTGCACATCATATTTCTTCTCCTGCCACTTCTCAACCTGTTTAGAGATGTCATTACCTACCTCTGGGATAAGTGGAACTTGAACCTGGCCTTCCTGGTTCAGAGATAGTGACACTACCCTGAGCCATAAGAGTTCCTCGCCTCTTTTTTTTTTTTTATGCTGTCACCTCTTCCCAATTCTCTCTCTCATTTTATTCTCCCACCCAATCCTTACATCCAGATGCTACCTGATTTCACGATACTCGGGCATTGACTCTGTTGCATTCTGTGGGTGCAGTAAAGATCTTTTAAAAACATTGCCACTGGAACACTGTCTATCAACATTGATTTCCAATGCCCTGGCTTCAGTAATCATGAAGCCGTTGTCAGACTGAGCAGAAGGGCACTACACTGTTTATGTGAAACATGACTCTTCAGATCAGGCAATATCTCTGCAGATTGAAACAGAATCAACATTGTAAATTTGGTTGAAAACGATCCTGATTCGAAACATGTTGCTTGATTCTTACCAGAGTTTAAAGATACCAGCTGAAGCTAGGCACAAAGCCACTCTCAACATTGATATATAAGCAAAAGTACTGTTTGTAACACTGTCGCCATGTAACTGTTCAATGCAGTTGTGGGCCTAGCTTAAAAATGCTGAAGATATCCTTGGCAGACACAGAAAATAAGGTAGTCACACGGTTCCCAGTGCTTCTGCATTTCGTGACCAATCAGTGAAAATTCTAATGGTATCCATCACAAGGGCTATCGTTTTTCAAATCCTACGTCCAAAAGGATATTTTCTCACCCCTGCCACCAAGCCATTGCCCAATCCCTTTCCATTAAAAGGAATTGAAAAGGCCACCTTTATGTCACACCAGTCACTACTGTACTAGCCAGTAACTTTTGAGATTATCTTTTTGAGGCAATGTCTTGCAAACTGCTTCACTTTGAGTAGAATTGGCTTGCAGCTGCATTAGATTGCAGAGCGTGTGACTTTACATTGATAAAAACTTTGCTATGTTCTTGGTCCACCATGTAATTAGTTTACTGCGTATGTGTGCAAAAAGTCCCATCATATTTAGAGCTTGTGCAGGTCAGCTTTTATATGTAGTCGTGATATAGCGTTTGCAAATTCTACTAATTTTACTTGCTTAATTAGTTTTTTTTCTTTATAAATCCTAATAACTTTGAGCTCTGTAACCTAAGTTTTTTTTTGTGCTATGAATAACATAGTGTTAACTAGATGTTACAGTTGTTTGCTGTAAATGCTTGGTATTGATCATTTTGCTCTCTTCTTGCAGGCTCTGCCCTAATTAGCTTACGATTTCTTCTGGGCTTTCCTTTCTCTCTGAGCAGCTTCTACCAGTTCCTGTCTCCTGTTGCTGATCCTGTAGTTTACAGATGGCGGATTCTCTTCCAATCTCACTCTGTTATTCCTGGTATATACTAAATGTAGTGTGACATTTTATTGTTGCTGCTAACTTTCTCTTGCATGTCACATGAAATTGTACACTTGAAGTGCTGTACCATACAAAGCTACGGGACAGGTGGTGGAAAATGGAATCAGAATAGATGGATGTTTGATGACTGGTGCAGATCTGATGGGTTGAAGGGCCTCTTACTGTACTGTAAAGAACCCTCTGACTCCATAACTGAAGCAAAATACTGGAAATCTGAAATAGAAGCACAAAATGCTACAAATGCTTAGCAGTTATAGGTGACAGTGCATAGCGGTAAAGATACTGGGCTAGTAACCCAGAGTTCCAGATTAATTTTCTTAGGACATGGGTTCAAATTCACAGCAGCTGGTAGAATTTAAGTTCATTTAATATAGCTGTGTTTTTAAAAAAAAGACTAGTCCCAGTTTCATGAATTGTCATAAAAACCCAACTGGCTCACTAACCTTCTTTATTCATTCATAGGATGTAGGCATCACTGGCCAGGCATTTATTGTCCGAGAGGACAGTTGAAAGTCAACCACATTGCTGTGAGCCTGGAATCACATGTAGGGCAGACCAAGTAAGGAAGGCAGTTCCCTTACAGGAGAAAATCAGACGTGTTTTTTTTGCCCCTGACAATCAGCAATAGTTTAATGACCATCATTAGACTCTTAATTCCTGACTTTTATTGAATTCAAATTCCCCCATCAACCATGGCCTCCAGAACAGTACCAGGATCTCTGGATTAACAGTCTAGTGATAATAACCACTAGGCCCATGCCTCCCCTTTTCAGAGAATAAAATCCTTAGTTGGACTATGACTCTAGACCCACAGCAATGTGGTTGACTCTTAACTAGCATCTGATATGATTCAACGAAGCCAATCAGTTCAAGAGTAATTAGGGATAGGAACAAATTACAATTACATGCATCCCATTAAATAATTTTTAAAAATCTACAGAGAGAGAAACAAAGTTTGCATTTTAAGCTGATGACCTTCCATCTAAACCAGAAGAAGACAGAGCTTGAGCAATTTCTAACTAAGTTTGAGATAAGTGGTAGTAGTATTGTAATGATGACAAAAAAAATGCAAGACTTGTGATAAGCA